GAATGGAAAACAAAAGAAATATTCTAGAATATAGAATAACTGAATTCTTAACATTTCTTATTCAATGATTAGAGGCCTTTAAATAGGCTAATATTCAAGTCTAGAAACAAGAAAATAGCAACTGAAACATACGTGCAAAACTGGTTCCCACAAACTAGGTAAAAACCACGTTATTAAACAAATTCCATATGACTAGGACAAAGAAAACAGAATAATAGATTTATTCTACATTGGGAAGTGGCATGATAGAAATGCGCTATGCCATGGCCGACCTTGTCATTAGGAATTTGGAAGCTCATTTTACGAAAAAATCAATGATAATGCCTCTGGTTTGATTTTATCATTAAACAGTGCAATTTTTTTATTACGATTTGAAGGGAATAGGCACAATGATGCTAATAACCCATGGCTGGAATTAATTGAGTTGCCCAGTTGACTGTTTTTTGTGGTTTATTAATTTGGTGCAATAGCGTGTTTTGGAGAAATGCCTAAAGCTGTGTTTTAGCTTACCTGATTAATGAACACCCAAGAGTCGCCATGTGTCACCTCCTACGCTGTTGGATTGGAGACCATTGGCGACCTTTATAAGGGGCTTCTAGGGTTTGCACATTGCATATTGCTTCAGATATATTTTCTCTCCTTGTTTCTATGCCGTTCCAGAGTCGTCTTCTCCTTCTTTCTGTTGAAATCAAAATACTCTTTTGATTTCGTTTTCTCTCTCAAATGTTGTAATCTTGAGTGATTTCCTTTAAGCTGGATTGTTGTTCTTGTGTGAACTGTTGTTGAGTGAAGGCTGAGATCTTTGTGAAATACGGGTTTAGACTGAGTGCTCAAACCTCTTGTAATCCTTATCTTGGTTGTGATTTGTATTCGAATGGTGGTTGTTCTTCAGTGATTGAGGCACCGATCGACTGGGTTTTGGCCTGATGGCTTTGATGAATAAGATTTCATACTTATACAGTTTACTTTTGTTTTCTTTCGTGTACATTTTTGTTGATTTGTGAGCTAACTTCTTTGAATCTCCTTCCAACAGTGGTATGAGAGCGTTTAAAAAGGTTCTTGATACCGTGTATGGTCGATCTTGACACTGTGACTACTTCTTGAGCTTCACTTTGTGTTTCTTGAAACCTTAATAAGGGAATCTGGTGAGATCCTTCATGTTTTATGTTTTAAAAGTGTTGATCAAGTTTTTTTACTCGTTTAAATTTTCTGCCTCGTGTTTGTAATAACTTGATTCTTGACCTTTTGGTAATTCCTTTGTCCAATAACCCTGAGACTTGTCTGGAATCTAAGGGTTACCTTGATTTCAATTAAGAGTCTTGATAATTCTTGTTTTCTGAAAATTTTCTTCTGCAGTATTATATACTCTTAATTGATCATTGTATATGATTTGTCTTCATGCATTACTGTGATTGTATTTCTATTGATAGATTGTGTACATTGTGATATAATTAAAGTTCTTGCTCTCTGTCAACTTGCAATTTGTGTACTCTGTGTATTCCTTGAGTGGTGATACATGTTCTTGTTCTACATTACAAGTTGATGTCTAGTGTCTGACTAATCTGCATATATTCATCCATTCAATTTTTTTCTTAAAATGACTACTTCAAAATTTGAAATGGAAGTTTTTAATGGCAAAAGGAGACTTTAGTCTCTGGCGCCAGAAATTGAAAACTCTTTTACTTCAACAAAACGTGTATTGATGAGTCATGGCCTACTGATCTTGAATCAAGCAAAGTGATGAACAATGTGAGATTGCATGGGGCACTGTTTCTTGCATTTGTCTGATAAGGTAATTAGAGAAATTGATGAGACTAAAACTACTGTTGAACTTTGGAAGAAATTGGAATCCACTTATTTGAATAAAACCATGCCTAACAAGGTGTATCTTTTAAAACAATTCTTTGGTTTCAAACTGGACCCTTCTCTTGATCTTGAAACCAATATAGATAGGTTTAACAGACTATCTCGTGACCTTGCCAACAGTGATGAGAAACTCTCAAGTGGACAGCTGGTTGTGATCTTATTGAATTCAATTGGTGATAAATATAAAGATGTTAAAAATGCAATTGAATATGGTAGGGAAACTCTAACTGTTGATGTGATCATTAATGCTTTAAGAACTAAAGAGTTAGAGTTAAAATCTGAAAAAAGGAGTATGTTAGTGGCATAAACCTTATGATGAAGTCCAAATTTAATTTCAAGAATGGTAATTTTAATAAGACACCTGGACACAAAAAGAAAGGCAACTTTAAGGATAAAATGAAAATGAAGACAAAAGGGAAAAAATGTTTTTATTGTCTAGAAGATTGTCATTTTATCAAAGAGTGTCATAAAAGGCTTTATAACTCTAAAAACAAGTCTAAAGATGATGGGGGTGCTGAATCCTATGAGTATGCTTTGAGTAGCAGAGATTCCAAACATTAGCTTGCAACCAAACAAGATGAAATGGAGTCACTTAACAAAAATAAAACTTGGATTTTGGTAAAAACACTTGAGGGTAAGGGGGTTGTAAATTGTAAATGGATTTTCAAAATTAAAAGAGGTGAACAAAGTGAGAATGACATAAAATACAAAGTTAGATTAGTAACAAAGGGTTTTACTCAAAAGAAGGAGTTGATTTCAATGAAATTTTTTCACCTGTAGTAAAATTTACTACTGTTAGAGTTATTCTTATTTTGGCCACCTAAATTAATTAAGAATTAGACCAATTAGATGTAAAAACGGTTTTTCTAAATGGGGATTTAGATGAAACTATTTACATGAAACAACCTAAAGGTTTTGAATTGAATAAGAGAGCTGACTTAGTTTGCCTTCTTAAAAAGTTCATATATGGCTTAAAACAAGCTCTAAGACAATAGTATAAAAAATATGACAATTTTGTTCTTGGACTTAGTTTAAAAAAAGTAACTTTGATACTTGTCTTTATTGCAAAGGAAATGGTGGAGTTAATTCACTTTATCTACTCCTTTATGTGGATGACGTGCTATTAGCAAGTCATGACATAAAAGAGATAGAGGAAACAAAGACAAACTAAAATCAGAATTTGAAATGAAGAACATAGGTCTAGTTAGAAAGATTTTAGGTATTGAAGTTAAAAGAAATAGGAAAAAAGGCACACTAAGTCTTAGCCAAAAATCTTATATTCTGAAATTGTTTAGTAAGTTTTCTATGGCTAAATCCAGAAGTGTTAGTGTTCTCTTGGCTAATCATTTTAAACTTTCAAATGATCAATGTCCTAAAACAAAAGAAGAATTTGAAAGAATAGAAAAAGTGTCTTATTCTAATACCGTTGGGTTTGTAATGTACCTTATGGTGTGTGCAAGACCAGATTTGGTATATTCTATAAGTGTTTTAAATAGATATATGTCAAATCCAGGTGAAACACATTGGGAAACCATGAAATGGCTTCTCAAGTACATTAAGGGGACTTCAAACTTAGGGATTCAGTTTAGAAAACAAGCCGAAGGTATTTTTTTAAAGAGATTTACTGATTCTGATGATGCAGGTGATAGAGATAACAGAAAATCCACCTTAGCCTACATGTATACCTTGTGTAATTCCTGTATAAGCTGGAAATCCCAACTTCAAAAGATTGTGGTGATGTCCTCTACTGAGACAGAATACATTGCTGCCACTAATGCAATTAAAGAGGGAATTTGGTTTAAATGGTTACTTAAATGAATTTGATTTTATTAAAAAAGTTGTTCTTTATTCTGATAGCCAATCTGCAATTCATTTAAGTAGAAATCCTGTATTGCATAATAGATCTAAGCATGTTGATGTAAGATTTCATTTAAGTAGAAATCTTGTACTGCATGCTGATCTGTGGATGTGGTAAAGTGTTCTAATGATGTCCTAAATGTGAGAATGGTCACTGATGAATGTGAATCATTGTACCAAGGTGAAGTATGAAGGGAATTGACACAATGATGCTAACAACCTATGGCTGGAATTAATTGAGTCGCCCAGCTGACTGTTTTTTGTGGTTTATTAACTTGGTGCAGTAACGTGTTTTGGAGAAATGCCTAAAGCCGTGTTTTAACTTACCTGATTAATGAACTCCCAGAATGTCGCCATGTGTCACCTCCTACGCCGTTGGATCGGAGACCATTGGGTGACCTTTATAAGGGGCTCCTAGGGTTTGTACATTGCATATTGCTTCAGATATATTTTCTCTCCTTGTTTCTATGCCGTTCCAGAGTCTTCTTCTCCTTCTTTCTGTTGAAATCAAAATACTCTTTTGATTTCGTTTTCTCTCTCAAATGTTGTAATCTTGAGTGATTTCCTTTAAGCTGGATTGTTGTTCTTGTGTGAACTGTTGTTGAGTGAAGGCTGAGATCTTTGTGAAATACGGGTTTAGACTGAGTGCTCAAACCTCTTGTAATCCTTATCTTGGTTGTGATTTGTATTCGAATGGTGGTTGTTCTTCAGTGACTGAGGCACTGATCTACTTGGTTTTGGCATGAGGGCTTTGATAATACGATTTCATACTTTTACAATTTACTTTTTTTTTTCTTTCATGTATATTTTTTTTGATTTGTGAGCTAACTTATGTGAATCTCCTCCCAACACAATTATTCAAGATCACTTTATTCCCATCCAGAACTATGAGAATTAGTTTGTCGAAGGAAGTTTTTTGTTTTTTCTCCATTCTGTCGCAGTTTTTATTGCTTGCTCTCATTCGATAACTTTTTTTCTGCAGCTTGCATTCAATGCTTGAAAAACTATAAAAAGTAAGTTCAGCGAAAATAACAGAAGAATGAGAAACCAGAAAAGCCCTTGACAGGGAGTTTATTCCTAAACCCAAGGCCTCTAAACAACTCATTTTCATAACATTTTACTCATGAAATTCACAGTTTTCTTCAGAGTCGAAAATCTATACTGTCTATCGAGTTCAAAAATCATGGGATGGACATATCTTCCTCGATCTCCAAATAGAAGCCCGACGAAATTCATCTAGTGTTGACTTCCAGGGCAAAAGTCAAATAGGAACTTGTTCAATCTACACGGCTTTGCTTGATCAGAAGAACGACAGCTACAATAACTGGAGTAGTTATCATAACCAGTGCCTTAATAGGAACTTGTTCAATCTACACGGCTTTGCTTGATCAGAAGACCGACAGCTACAATAACAGGAGGAGTTATCATAACCAGTGCCTGCACAATGTTGGGCTGTGTTATTTCTGGGAATATGATACTTCCATACTTAATTGCAGCTGCACCAGCAAGAGAACCAGCTCCTAATCTCAGAAAGTAATTCAAGTCCCCCTATCCAAGAAAAACTTGCACAGGGATTAATGATTATTCACAATTAAATTTTTCATTAACCATTGCTTGTTAAAGTGTGTGGCTTACCGAAGAAATGAAGGTTGCAGAATCGGGATCATTTGTGTTTTCTCTTCCAGGCTTCGAAGCTCGAACAAGTGAGAGATTCCTGAATGGCGTCGTGGGGAGAGCAGTTCGATGAGGGGAAAATCTAGGCAAAGTTGGATGAGGCTGCTGGAGTGTGTAAATCCTGGACACTTGTGTGGCTGCCATAGCCATATCCAGAAGTTGTGCATAGAATTGGTTCTATGGCCTATAAAAGTAATTAGAATAATTAGGGTTGGGCTGTCAAACCTTTCACTTAGTGTGATTATGGGTCTCCAATCTTTCAATACGAAGTTTTGAGTCCTCAGCTTATTTAAATATATTAATTTAGATATCCACGTGAGAAAATTGTTAATTTCGCACATGACTTTTAGTTGAATCGGAGATAAATGTTAAATAATTTGAAAACTTCGCACTTTAACGGTAAGTCATCTAAAAGTCAATTGTTACTTTAATGACTATATTGATGTATTCAGAGCCTGTCTGGACATGCTTTAAATTCAATTTCCTACCGTTAATGGAAGTAAAAAAACAACCGTTGGACTGGCGCTGTCAGAATAAATTGAGTGCACTTTTACCAATTTGTCCTTGCCAACCTTCTTTGACTTTTCAAACCATATTACGTGAAAATTGCTGTGAGGAGGGCAAATGTGAAAATTGGCTGGCCAAAAGCTGAATTTCAGTCTGCACAATTTCTGTAAGTTTTGTCCTTGGAAATGTTGTTAACGGTCGTTAAAATGCTTATAAGTATTGCCAGACAGCCTCTCAGTCATTCGAGTATCTAGATTCACTAATTTCAATAGAATGGGAGTTAGACCATCACCTTTGAAAGTTGTGAATCTATAACCACGCTACATGAAAAATTGAAGAGTTCAATCCTAATGTGCTACTAGACATAAATTAATGTAAATTTTTTCTAGCCCAATAGAAAATCTCATGACCTAGCCCAACTGCTCATGACCTAGCCCAACTTGACTCGTCACATGCTGTGTCATGGACCTCGTTGTGTTTGAATCCTTGGTCAACAAGTCGAGCCCAACTCACTTATTGGGCTAGCTTAGCCCAGGTGGCAAGATCAACTCGACTTATTGCTACCCATCACAAAGAGTGTCTCGTGATAAACTTTACTTCGTTTGCCTTTTTCTTTTAAAGTTCCCATTGTTTATAAAGAAAATGAAGGTGGGTTGATAAAACTACTCGGGCTAAACTAATAATTTTAATTGAGTGATGATTAAGTTGCACGGTAACTGAAAGTTAAAAACTCAAATGACAAATTTGAATAGAGATTTAAGTACTTACTTTGGCAAAGTTAAAGGACGAGCAGTGAATTTTCCTTTAGAATATGCACAAGAATTATCAAGGAATTCATTTCATGAACCAACTCCATCTGTGATTCCTCCGATCGGATCGACAATGAAAAGCATAGGCGTGTTGTTAACTTGCCCAATGTCAAATTACCTCCGAGAACAGCTCTCCAAACGATTCACCCTTTTCAAATTCTGGCAAATTCACCCTAATTCCAAGCACGAATTTATCAATCAAAACTCAAAATCTATACTCGCAGTGGTAGGAAATGGAATCCACGGTGCTAACTCGGAACTAATCGACTCGCTCCCAAATCTAGAAATCATAGCGAGTCACAGCTCCGGGTTAGACAAAATTGATTTGCCTAAGTGCAAAGAGAAGGGTATACGTGTCACCTACACGCCAGACGCTTTGACGGAGGAGGTGGCGGATTTGGCTATTTTGCATACTTTGGCGACATTGAGGAGGATTTGTGCGGCGGACCGATTTGTGAGGAGTGGGCTATGGAAAAATGGCGATTTCGAGTTGACCCACAAGGTTTGTTTGGTCTTTGTAGTCTTTTCTTATCGTAAATTGATACAATATCATTTATCCTTATCCAACTTTCTTGCAGTTGAGTGGCAAATCAATTGGTATAATAGGTTTGGGGAGGATTGGATCTGCAATTGCCAAAAGAGCTGAAGGTTTCGGCTGTTCAATCGGCTATCATTCACGCTCGCAAAAATCAAACACGGAATACACTTACTATCCATCCGTACTCGACTTGGCTTCCAACTCTCAAATCCTTATTGTGGCATGTGCATTAACAGACGAAACTCGCCATATTGTCAACCGCGATGTCATCGATGCATTGGGTTCAGATGGAGTTATCGTCAACATCGGAAGAGGAGATCACATCGACGAACCTGAACTCATATCAGCACTTGTTGAAGGCCGGCTGAGAGGTGCTGGGCTTGATGTATTTGAGCACGAACCTGAAGTGCCCGAGATACTCCTCCGCCTGGATAATGTAGTTCTTTCCCCTCATGTGGGAACTTGCACTGTGGAAACTCGCAAGGCCATGGCCGACCTTGTTGTGGATAACCTCGTGGCGCATTTTTCGAACAAACCTCTATTGACTCCAGTTTTTTTATTACGTTGAAATTGTAACAAGCCGAGTCTCTCTTATCAAGTTGTTATATCATTGTGTTCTTAGGGCCTGTTTGATAGGCTATATTTTTCAACATCGGAAGAGGAGATCACATTGACGAACCTGAACTCATATCAGCACTTGTTGAAGGCCGGCTGAGAGGTGCAGGGCTTGATGTATTTGAGCACGAACCTGAAGTGCCCGAGATACTCCTCCGCCTGGATAATGTAGTTCTTTCCCCTCATGTGGGAACTTGCACTATGGAAACTCGCAAGGCCATGGCCGACCTTGTTGTGGATAACCTCGTGGCGCATTTTTCGAACAAACCTCTATTGACTCCAGTTTTTTTATTACGTTGAAATTGTAACAAGCCGAGTCTCTCTTATCAAGTCGTTATATCATTGTGTTATTACTGTTCGATTTGGGCTCAAGCTTTTTTTAAAACGGACACTACGTATGATATAACGACTTAGACAGGTTGAGTCCTTAAAAAATGTTGTTGCCATGGTATTTTCTGCACCACCCAAATTTATGTTACTTTCTGGGCCCTTGTAACTTATTTAGTTCGAACGAGGAATTAAAGACTAATGACTTCAGTTGCTTTAGTGGAGTCTTTGGTCGTCCAATGGTGATGGATTAGGAGACGGAAGTTCTTCGAATCATTGCTAATTCACTCGAATATGTTTTTATGGAAGTGAAGATATTTCAAATTATTTGTTAATATGGACGAAGTCAATAAAACTAGTAAATAATGTGTTGATATTATCATACAGTTGAGTTGAAAAACAATCAATCTTAAGCACAAAATCTCTCTCCCCCCTCTCCTGATGATATGGAAAAACACATCATCAAAATCAAGATTGATCTATATGATTGGAAAAATAAAAAATCAATAAAAGAACCAATTCGAATATAGATTATTCGAGAATTTAAAACTCGTTAAATTGCCTAAAATTGAAAACATTCTCGATTCAACAGAATATGTTACGCTTCTCTATACGAGTACCCTCACATGATCTCAACCATCTACGTGGAAAACGGTTCGACGGTCATACGCCCTGTACACTAACATGAGGCGAAAATGGACCGACCCTTAAGCGCGGACGACCCACTTTCCCCACGAAGAGAAGTTGGACTGACCCCATTACACGCAGACTCTATGGGAAGAGCCGGCCCAGGATGAGGCGGTGAAGAAATCTTAAACAGATATTGTATTATGTGATTGACAAGACAACTCACAACTATTACCGTCATCAACCTATTTGGTTAAATCCAAGGCTACAAGCTAGGCCATATGGATACAAAAATGGTATTAACATTTAAGGCTGTGATTGATTGATATCTATGAAAAGAAAGGTCGGTCATTTGGATGAGACCACGTACATTGTCATCCAACGACCTTCATTCGTCTTGCCCAAATATAAAAACTCACACTTAATGTCATTGTGAAAGATAATCCAAGTTTAGATTCTCAAAACTATAATTTTGCTACCATACCTTGTACTTATTTCTCCCAAAGCCGGTCCCCTTTGGATATTGGAGGCTCGCGTTTAAAGTACTCACACACTCATATAACTATTTTTCCAACCGACTTGATCGTCGGACTGCGCGAGGCCAACTCCAATCCCTTCAAAAAAGGTCACGTGTGACTAACAATTTGTGGAAGTGTACATGAACCCATGGTCGTTTTGAAGTTCAATACATACCTGTGAAACTCGGATGTTATTTACTGCAGAAAATAATGGAGGCCGTGGGAGTGCTAATGACCTGTCCCATGTTAACCTATCTCGAACAAGAACTCGAAAAGCGCTTCACACTCTTCAGATTCTGGGAGTCGCATTCCAAAACCCAGTTTTTGGAACAAAACTCTGATTCAATCGTCTCAGTGGTAGGCAACGCTTCATTTAATGCTGACTCGGACCTGATTGACGCACTGCCGCATTTGCAAATCGTGGCGAGTTACAGCGTCGGGGTGGACAAGATTGATTTGAATGAATGTGAAAAAAGAGGGATCAGAGTTACAAACACGCCTGATGTTCTAACTGAAGATGTTGCTGATACAGCAATTGGATTGATATTGGCGACTTTGAGGAAGATTTGTGCTTGTGATGGGTTTGTGAGAAATGGATCCTGGAAAAATGGTGATTTTGAGTTGACTACTAAGGTTTGTGAATTGGGAATTCTGATATTTTGTGATAATTTTATGAATATTTTATATGAATTTGAAGTCAGATATGATTCTTCTTCTTCGTTCATAATTGAGTAAAACTGTGCTCAATGTGTTCGATGAAATTCTGTAGTCGAATTCCATGCTATGAAGAAAAACTTAGGCTTTCAAAGGAAGTGGAACTTTGGATTCGACTACAAAAGTTTGGAGAATTGTAGAATTTCTGTTCCATGTTGAGGCACTGGAATAATGTGTCACCATTATAAATTATAAAGCAGTGTGTTATCTCGCAAGATATGGTTGTCAAAATCTGCCTTTAAGAAAGAAAAAGAACCTAAAATTGTGTTCATTGTATTGTCCAGTTTTACCATATTACCATGTACCAAATGTGCAGTCTCGACTTTTGAGTGAATTTAACTGATGTTTTCAGGCTCTTTACAATGTTAGGGCTGCTCACTTGAATTATCATATCGTCCTTTTTGTTTTCTTGATTTTTAATGATATTCCTGTTTTCGTTTTCATTCTTGCTGCTCCCTTTTCCAGTTCAGTGGTAAAGCAGTTGGCATAGTTGGATTGGGCAGGATTGGTTCAGCCATTGCCAAGAGAGCCGAAGCTTTCGGCTGCACCATCAGTTACCACTCCAGAACCAAGAAACCAACTACAAATTACAGATACTATTCCAACATCATCAATTTAGCTGCCAACTGTGAAATCCTCATTGTGGCATGCTCTTTGACAGAAGAAACCCACCACTTTGTGAATCGAAAGGTCATGGACGCTTTAGGACCGAAAGGTGTTCTCATCAATATTGGAAGAGGTGTACACGTTGATGAACCCGAACTTGTGTCTGCATTACTCGAAGGACGGATAGCTGGAGCTGGACTCGATGTGTTTGAGAACGAGCCTGAGGTACCTGAACCTTTTCTTGGACTCAAAAATGTTGTTCTTTTGCCTCATGTTGGAAGTGACACATTTGAAACTAGCAAAGTCATGGCTGACCTAGTCATCGCAAACTTGGAGGCTCACTTTCTACACAAACCTCTATTAACTCCAGTGATTTGAGAGATTTTGTTTATTTTGTTCATGAAGATTCTTTGGTGCTTCAACTTTGCACACTTATTTATATTAGAAACAACAATATTGTTCAATTTCCTTGGAAGCTTGGTAGAAATTGCAATCATGTGTGTTAAACTTCATTCTTTTGGTGCCATTTCACATAATTTATTTTCAATTAGTGGAACCAAACACATTCTATTTCTGCAACATAAAACTACATAGAAAGCATTGTAAAAGCTGCCTCTAAAGTCAAGTATTACAGTACTCATCTACAACTTGAAATTTATTAGACGGCATGCTTGGTAAGATGGACCAGACGACACAAGAAGAAAAATAAGCTAAAATCATTCCATTGTACTATCCAGTCGTGTTTGAACCATAACGAACTATGAAAGACTGCTATGGTGGTGGAGTTGATGGAGAAGAACCTTTGAAGATGAGAAAATTTAGAGCCTCCAATTTGAAATATATGAAAGTCCCTTTGCTGTGTGTGAAAAAACACCCAAAGTTGTATCCTACCACACACTGCCATCCATTCTCATATCTTTTGTCAAACTCCTGCAAATCATATCATCAACTTGTACACAAGATCCAGAAAGTAAATATCTAAGTTATAAGTTGCTTATTTTGTATAAAAAAAGTAACTTCTAATCACGACAAGACGTGTTATGATCACCTTCTTGATGTGGGCAGCAATGGATTTGCAGTCTAAAACATCATAGAGATCTAGAGCTTGAGAAGCTAAAGCCATTGCTTGGATCTGCATCTTCACTGGCATATCTGTATCCTGTATCAAACCCTTCCCTTCTAACATTTTTCTCTCTCTTTAGAAATTATATTTATTATTGTTCTTGCTCAAATCTTGGAAGCCCGTTAGGATTTTTTCAGTTTTACAGAGTGAGTAATGTACAATATATAATAATAATAATAAATAGCTGACCTCCAAATGTAGAGGAACTATTTGATGTTTATTCTGGTGGCGGCTCATGGCCCAAGTTGTGTCCTGCTCATGATTCTGAGTACTTTTTTTAACGTTATTATAAGTTGGGAATCCCTAATTCATCATCATCTAAACGCGGATAAGGACGTTGTTGGGGGATAAAGCTAAGTGAATTTCACTTTAAATTTGCCTGAAAAAATCCACGCTTTGAAATTAATTTCACTTCAAATTTGCTTCCCATGTTAGGAATTTTTTTCTCGTAAATTTGTATTTGTATTAATTTTTTTTCCCGTATTGAGTTCTCATTCCATGTTACACTAGTATGTTAAAATCTATAAAAATAACAAGACAAAGCTCTACTTAGGCTTAGTAAGAAAATGGCGTGCCTTCCGAAGCTCTCAAATCGACTACCAAGCTACAAAATGACCTTTGGATAATTTGGCAGGCCTCAACGCTAGCTATATGAGTCCGGACCAACTCCTTCATATCTTACGCCATCTCTCATGTAGGTCTATCTATTACGGTATATATAGTCTTGTAGGGATTTCATTTGAGGCAAGAACTCGTTTAAAGCCTCTCTGGTTCCACTGCCTTTTGGATTAAAATCAACAATATTGCCGTTGGAGGGTCCCACTCATGAGAGGGTTAGTCAACAATGGTAGGCTATAACGTCTTAAAAATTGATTTTGTCCCCTCATTTCATTGCGCCCAGACAGGGCCTTAATGTGACAACTCGCCCAACGTGACATTTCATCACGTGCCCACGCACTAAAGTTTAACCATATTGTTTTTATAATGTTTATGTACAGTCTTAACTTGTTATGGAGTGGCATCGATCATCCCCACATTAGTATAGACAAGCTCACTAACTATTCTTGTCTTCTTTATAAACTAGTGAATGAATTAACCCAAGAACATGGATAACTATTACATCGTTCATTCCCATTTTGACCTCCTCTTCTTGCAGCAAACCTACTTACCTGACATTAAACTTGTTAAGCAAAAAATACTATATATAGTGAACACAGGCAGGCAAAAATTCCAACATCGTTGAGGACAAAGACTGAAGATCTATCGACACCTTGTGACAGTACACTTCAGAAATAAAATGAGAGGTAATTCCACTTGTACATCAAGTGATGTACATAAGGGGTTACACCCCCCTCACATGGAGGGTGGGACCCGCTTGAATAACCTACTTACCTGACATTAAACTTGTTAAACAAAGAATACTATATATAGTAAACACAGGAAGACAAAAATTCCAACATCGTTGAGGACAAAGACTGAAGATCTATCGACACCTTGTGACAGTACACTTCAGAAATAAAATGAGGGGTAATTCCACTTGTACATCAAGTGGTGTACATAAGGAGTTACACCCCCATCACATGGGGGTGGGATCCGCTTGAATAATATTTATTATTCAAGCGGGTCCCACCCCCTATGTGAGGGGGGTGTACACCCCGATGTACCGCTAGTATCACCCTAAAATGAGAATCCGGGTTCAAGAGATTTTCATAATAACTACAATAAATTGAATCTATGTGCGTCTATCATATACATAATCACCTAAAAGGGAAAGAAAGTTCAAAACTTCATATTATAAGGCCATCGAAAAATCAAATGTACGATTTATGATCTCGCAGCAAAACAACATTAAAAATAATAGAAACGATAGATCTTGATAAGACTATTAAACAGCAAATAAAATCGTTCCTTTAGCCTATTATCTTTCCTTCATCTGTCTTTCTAACGACTACTTAAAAACACTCAAAAATTAACTTCACCTTGTATACTGCTACAAAATCACTAGTAGTGTGACTAGTGTCTACCCACAGTGCTTCAATCACACACAATTACAACCAAAAACCATCATTACTAACATTAAACCTGTGTCTCACATTGTAATTTGTAGCATTGTTGATTCCTAATAACAGAGACAAGAAGAAATAGGCTTATCCAACAATATCTTTCTACCCTTGTGAGTAACAAATCGAATAAAGTAATTATTTAATGAAAGTTGGACATACTTTATTCATTGGTCCTCCTTTTGCCTAATGGGTATCTCCTATGTTCACACCAATATTCGTGCAAATTGCAGCTTGATAGACCTTGCAGCACTCATAGTGATGATAAGGTACATGATTCCCCTTGAGAATTATAATAAACATAAATCTAATATGCATGAGAGGACCATATTGACGTAATAAATATATTTATTTAATCTATAACATTTTACGTCCATGTCCCCCTTTAAAACAAATTATTTATTTCTCATACTCATTTTCAATCACACTTTCATACACTAAAATATTTTGCACGTAAACTCAAAATTTTTCCCAACTTTTTAACCACGCATCATTCAAAACATCATTTTCAAACAAGGGCTAAATTTTAGATGGGGCGATTTATATGAATCTTTGTATTATTTTAAACGACAACAATTGAGTCTTATATTGAAATTTTGGATCGAATATGAATCTTTGTATTATTTCCTTAATTATTCCTGACCGAACTTGTGAGGGTTGTGCCCTATTAGATATTGAAGGCAATAATAAACCCTTAAAAGAGAGAAAATGTTAATCTTCAATATCAAATTATAAAGGAACGTGTTTCCTGGGAATATTACACATTACACCATCGAAAAGAAGAAGAATAAGGTACAAATGTTACTAAGGAAAATGGACATTCACATGCTTCAAACTTTAGGGCTCATACTCACAGATGTTATAAAACCAAATATATTCTTTTCCTTCCGCATTCCTGATAATGTTCGATATACCAACCCAACCTGTCAAGAATGATGCAACCATAATTTTTTAACTAAGCAACATGATGAGATTGAGCCCCTGTTTGACAACCATTATTCAAAAACTCTTTTTTCTATGTATTCATTTTCAACCACACTAAAATATTATACACACAAATCCAAAATTTTTCTTTACTTTTTAAACATGCGTTCTCCAAAAATTTACTATTCAAAACTCTGTTTTTGGGTTTTAAAGGCCATCAAACAGGGACTGAATTTCCCATTCAAAATCTTGAAAAATGTGCAGGAAATTTTTGAACTAGAGTTCAACAATACTTGCCTAGTGATACTGCACTTGCAAAGATGGTGAATGCCAAAATAAAGATGATTAAAGATGCTCGTCCGAATATATTAATCATCTTTCTTACTACGTGCTGCCCTACCAATGCAGCAACGGTAGCCACAGCAACAAAATAAAGAGCTGCAAGTGAGAGTAACAGTTAGTTGAGCAACAATCTAATATATGCCTAATGAATAACTATCTTCAACTTTTCGAATCAAGAAGTATGCACAACTATCCATGTGTTGAATAGAAGTTGGCCGGATAACTTACCGTATGATACTGGAAAGCGTTTCAAGAGATAGTATTGTACTACAGACATGGATGACGAAAATACCATGGCAAATGTGGCTGTGGCACTTGAGACCTGCATCAGAAGATTTTAAAATAACTATTGTGAACTATTGTACGTGGCAGGAGATGGTTAATTACAAGTTTTAGGACAAGAATTTTAGAATATGCGAGTATTTATAATGTTATTCCATAAGCAGCTAAACACCGGAGAGAATATTTTAGGATAAAACGCATAGCAACTAAAATGATGAGCTTGTAGTCGAGCCGGTTTGAAACTCGAAGCTCGGGGCTCGGTTCTAGTAAAAATAGTTAGGACTTTTTTTGGCTTGAGCCAAAACAAGCTTTTGCTCGGCCAAAAAATCTAGGCTCGACCTAAGCATTTGGCTCGGGCCTCAACAAACTGGGCCGGGCCTACCGAGCCCCTTTTTTTTATAATGAAAAGTACCTACAATAGCAGGCAGCTGCTGCCTGTATACAAATTTATATTTTAAATTTGCTCACGAGCTGAAATGGCCTGTGACACAGGGTCGGGCCAATGCTCCAAAATGGGGCTCGGCCCGAGCAGCGAGCCAGGCCGGCTCGATCTTTTCCCTGACCGAGCCAACGAGCCAAATTGACACAGCTTGTAAGGAGTTGAGAAGGCTGCTCTGGGCATTCGGGTTATGGAGGGAATGAGCCCATTTTTCAAACCTACACCAGTTAACAATCAATGGTAGACAAGTTTTTTTTTTAATTTTTCTTTTGCGGAATCTGTGATCACTGTTTTTCTTCATTGATACTGTGCATTGGTATCTAATCATCCACACAAAATGTGCCAATATTGATTCAAGACGATTGCAAAGTACCTGTGCAGGAACTCCGAGCTCTAGAAATAATGGCCCTAAAATGAATCCTCCCCCAAGGCCTAGCAGCCCACCAACTATACCGGCCAAAATGCCACAGCAACAACAGAGAATCAACTGTTGCACTGTCCAATTTATTGGTGCTTCTCCCCTTGAAGCTATCGCCTTCCACCCCTTATATAAGCCAACTGCCTCATAACCGGATGCTCCAATGGCTACAGGGATCTGAGAATCAACAGAAATATAAATGTCATGATATATGTTTGTCTCGCTCTCTCACAAATAATAAAAAACGTAGGGTAGTGATCCAGGGCTTGGATATACTATTTCACAATTCGACATATCGAGTACCTGCAACAAGGTCAGAATCCAATATGCCACTGAACAAGTTGTTGTATAATCCTGTATTAAAGATGCACAAGTCTTCTCAATAATAACTCATAAAAAGAGTGAAAACTTGAAGGGAAAAAAAGGCCATCGTAGAGGATTTTCAAGAATATAATATATGAAAACCTTGCCGATATGAAGTAAAAGGATTATGGCCCAGACAGCAATGAGTATAGTGAGTTCCTTCCAGTAGACATTGTCAATAACCGAGACCTGCAAGACTTGTGGAAATCAGCGTCGGTTCGGAAATTAATTCTTGAATCTGTAACTGTTTGTGCATGTTTGGTACATAGTAGAGGACAAGACTCGATGGTGTAACAAACAAGATACTAGCTTCTTTTCTTTCTTAATATTTTTTAAGTGTGGTTCAATCCTCCCTACATAACGTGCCATTCAGGTATTAGAAGTTCGTTACCTCCGATGCTTTATAATCATTGAGATGTACTCCAGTTCCATTAGTTGGGCCTCCAGGTACAAGTTTGTATTCCACTTCTTCACTTCCATTATCTGATTTCAATTCACTCTTACTCTAATCTGGCTAACTAACATTTTTTTCAAAATATTTCTCAAGATTGAAAAGTAATGCATACTCACAATCAGATGCCAAGTGTCTAGAAGCCTCCTGCATACCGAATTAAGAGACAGAAAGAAGAGATTTTCAAATCAAAAGATCAACTAGCATATCGGAACAAGTGAAAATGTACAAGACTTTAGGCTACCCTTTTCATAATGGATTCTTTCTTCCATGTTTCAACACCCTTAAAGAAAGCCTTAGTTGACATGCCTGTAGTTATGACATCGTTAAGTTACCTAAAAAATGCAACTGAAAAATGTAAATAAATTGGACACCACCTATGAAAAGAACAATCAACAAAACTGTAACCATCCAGTCTGCAAAAATCACGTTAAACATAACTCCAACGCTGATCCCGAGCACTAGCATTGGTTGAAAAAGAAGAGCTAGATCATAATCGATGATAGGAAGATCAAGTGTAGGATGCCGGAGCTTGATATTGTAATATACAGCAGCGCCTGCTGCACCCGTAATCATACCTGGACAGAATATAAAAGGCTCAAATACAGTCCAATTATCAAAAGGATCAGAATTCAGTTCTGTATTTGTGCAAAGTGATTGTCTTCAAATGAATCAGTTTCTTTTCCAAAAGCTTCGCCCCTAAATACTGTTGACTTCTGAATTCCATGAAACAAAATATATTATTCGTTTCCCAGTTTTCCATGTTACACGTGACCTGGTCGAACGTTTTAGTTATTTAAATCTGAGCCAAATAACCAACAAAAACTAATTAGCAATGACTATCTGAAACTATATGTCCTCTGCCTCTAGGTAGTTTTAATTCAGAACTCTGCATAAAAATATGCAAAATTTCTAGGTTCTAGGAAAGCTTAACGCGTCAAAGTTGAGTCAAATGATTGAAGATTCAATGTTCTATAGCAAGCAAATTTTTTAAGAACTTTAATTGGATGCTTCTTCACTGTTTAGTGAGGGCTATTTAGATGCAATGATCAGTTGGAATTGGTATGTTTATAAAAGAATCTGGCCTATATCTGATACCAATACAAATCGTGATTCCTTACATTTCGATATTGCAGTTGACGACTTTGGATCAAATCCTACGATTAGAGTGAGCATTGGGACAAATATTCCTCCTCCACCGACACCTCCAACACTCCCAAGAGCAGCACCAAAGAATCCAATCACTGAACCCACAACAATTCTCCAACCAAATTCTAGTTCCTGAAAATTGATAACAAACAGTGAAAGCTCCTTTAAGGGATGTTCAGAATGCAGTACGAAAACACAACACTGTATGTTGGCTAATATTATCATGTCCAGTCGAGCATAACAAATTCATTGTAGTTCAAATATCTAGCATTAAAGGGAAAAATAAAAGCACGTTTATAATGAAAAGAAAAAACTCACAGGCCAATTATGATGGTAAAGTGTGTCTCTGCTTTGCTGCAAGAAACTGATTATTTTGCTGAAATACTCTGATCCAAATTCTTCAGTAATCCTATTGTTTGTTAAAATCCCATTTACCAATTTCGAACTCCGTTTTGCTGAAACAATCACACAACCTAAAAGAAGCAATCCAATCAAAATCACCAAACCCTTCTTACATTTTGATCCAATCTCAGCCATCAAATTTGTCGATCCTTATTCTAGTTCACCCCAAACAGATAAAAATTTCTCAAAAGGCAAGTCAAAAGTCAATATAAATTCAAATCCAAACAAGAATCAACAATTAAAGCACCAAAAGTGTTTGGGTTGACAAATTTAGATTCCAGTGAAGGCAATTTTTGGTAGAGATTTTCTTGAAAAAAAATTTCAATGTATTTTGGTTTTGAATCTGTAAGAACTAAGAATCCATTAAGTGGGGTAAAGATATAACAAGTTCTTCCATTTAAAAGTCTTTTGTTTAGAGTAAAATTTAAAATAATCCCATTTTTAATTGCATAATCATCACTGAACACGCTAACTATCAGCTTCAATGTGCAGTCCTCTCTGTCACATGCAGTAAAATGCAAAATTCAAACTGGGATTACAATTTGTGATTATTAAGCCCAAGTTTAACCTTTTTTTTCAAACACATCTTTTCAAGTTCATTTTCAATCACGCATTCTACCATAAGATAATTTTACATGTAAATTAAACAAAAAAATCTTACTTTTTAACTGCACATTCTCAAAAAACAAAAAACTATTTCAAAATACATTTTCTTATAAAAATAGGCTCAAACAAGACTAAAAATAATCAATAGTACATATAGCAAAATTCAAGAATAATTGTGGTCATTTCAATGCAAAGCACGCGATAAACAACATCTATAATTGCAGTAAACAGTAGCTGGAAAAAGAGGATTACCTACCCCACCCTACCCAACCTCCACCCTACTAACCCTCAACCAAAGGAAAGAAAAAAGAAAAACAATGCACACAAGAAAATGGAGGCTATGCTATCTTTTTTGGATAAAACTAATTGTTCACGCTTAGTACACCAAGGTGGACATTCTAAGTGTTTTCAAAATTCATATAATTGATTGTTTAAATTGTTGAGAAGATTAATATCTAAAAAAATATCATCTCACAAAAATATCGAACTTATATAAAATTTAATGTACATATAAGCTTGATTAATCTTTTTTAAATATTCCCATACTGATAGTGACTTAAAAAGATGGACGCGCTTTGTAGTTATTACTTTCGAATAATGCTGAGTGTACCTTAATTCGACAGCCTCCTCATTTTGGGGTGGGGCCCGCAATTTTTAAAATTGCAGACCACACTCCTTTGTGAGTGGGTTGTCACGCATGATGTACATCAAGGGTCTACATCTAGCATTTCCCATTGCTTTTTAGAGCTAAAAACAATAGTAGGCCATTGTGTGTTTGGTAGTCATTATTTTTAAAATATATTTTTCACTCTTAATTTTAACCAAATTTTTTAATAAAAAATATTATAAGCAAATAAAAAAAAATTCTTTTTTTAATCATGCATTCTCCATCAAAATATTATTCTAAAATGCATTTTAAGCAGAAAGTGGGGTTCAAACAGGCTTATATTTTGGCCGATTGATGAAGTCATGTTTGTCTTCGTTTAAAATAAATTTTTAAATTCTCATACTCATTTTTAATCATTTAGTCGCGGAGGAGGGTTGAACAAATAGGACTGAAATGCCTGAATCGAATTTTAACTTGTAGGGCGTCAACGTGATGTAGTGCTGGCGGCACTATGTTGGTTGTTCAAGGGATTGCAGAGAATGTGTCATTTGAAGACAATAATAAAATTATTTATTTTATTTAAAAAATTTGTTGAGAAAACATAAAACAAATTAATTTTGGGATAATGTAAATTGAGTTAAAGGTTGAAGAATAAAAATTTATTTTTAAAGATCGAGAACAAATTTGCTAGAGATGTTAAAAGTTGATGAATAATTGTGCAAGGTTCTCAAAAGAATCATAACGTGGCACGTGAGATTTGAATCCAAACTTTGTTAACAATCCATATGTTGTCGAGATCCGTACTGTTGATTTAAAAAATAATTTTTAAAATAGATGATGCAGATTCTTGTCAACTCATGATTGTATATGTAGCATGTTTCATGTATAAACAGCTGCCAAAGCAATCTAATAAGAAGCAAAAGTCTCATTAGTTTAAGAATGAGGCTAAAGCTA